TTCTTTTTCATTTAGTTTTATGAAAAACAAGACCATTGTTGGCAAAGATGTTCTGAGGTCCAGGCGCCCTTACGAGAAGCCCACCCTGCGAGGGGCCCAGAGGCTCTTACCCAGAAGGGCTGGGCTCTGCCATCTCCGTGGAGAATTCCCACCTGGGCCACTGGGTGAACTGCTCAGTGACGGCCTGGACTGATGCTGCGTGGTTAGGGGCACTTTTGGGTCAAATATCATGACACATTCTAATTTCACGTTCAGAGCATCGAGGAGATAACATTGTAAATACTTAGAAGCTGCTGTCATTCTGTGTCTAAATAACATGGGAAGCTGTGGGGGAGGAACCTTTCTACAAACACTTAACTACTGCATCACAGTAAAGTAGCTCTTGTCCGTTTGCTTTATTCTTCCTGTGCACATGCTCACGTTGCCAGCTAGTCCCGTCAAGTCAGCATTTATGACCCGCTGCTGTTGAAGCCGAAGCTGAAGCCAGCACATTTGCCGAGTGTTCATACGGTCTAATAAGCCGAGCGTCTTCCTAGGTATCTGGCACAGTGAGCGTTTAGTAAGTGTTGAGTGTTGCATTATTTGGAGCAAGCTTTTTGCTTTAGGATGCAGCTAGAAAAATCGTATTTTAAAAACAAATGTATTTAGCCTCAGCAGTATTCTGTCCTGCTATACCTTCTTTATTCAAGTTGTATTTTTCAAATGGATCCTGAAAAATTGTTTCAGAAAGACTGTCTTTGTTTTCTTCAAGGCGAGACCAGATGCATTGTCCAGATTCTGCACCGTGTGTTTCAGAAAGAGAAATCAGTGTATATTTTCTAGTGGTCATGGCTTCTAGCTGACTTTCTGTTTATGTCTTAAGAAATGGCACCTGAAATGGGCTTCTCTGGAGTCCTGACCCCAGGGTGCGTGCGTGCGTGCTCTTTGGTGGGGAGGGAGGGTCTCGCCTGTTTGGCTCACGGGGGTGTACCCCACTGGCCGTGCCCAGCAGATGTTTGAGGGATAAGGGAATGAACACACATCACATTTTCATCACAGCTTTGTTAGCAAAGCAGATGTTGTCATCTCTACCTTGTGCAAAGTAGGCAGTTGTCTAGAGGGTGAACTGATTTTTATCTTACGGCCGCATCATTTGTATGTAGGTGAGCCAGAACTTAGACCCCGAGTCTTCTGACTTTACACTGAGTGTCCCTTCTGTCACTTTGATGAACTTGAAAGTCGTCATTAACCATTAATGTTCATAATAGTAAAAGCATACAGATAAATGCAGTAGAGAGAGAGCATGTATCACTGAAGTTCACTAAGGATGCGATGGTCCCTTCGTCAATGTCGTGAAGCCTCTGAAAACTGTAACCAAAATCCTCTCCTGATCCCACTCCGGGCATCTGACCACAGTCCCTGCGGACGCATCCCCAGCTTCCCCGGCTGCCCCCTGAGGCCTCAGCCACGCGGATGACAAAACGTGCCTGTAGCTCTTCTCGGCGCTTCCCCCAGGCCGGGGGTGCCCTCTGGTGCCTCCACTGTGCCAGGCCTCTTGTGCTGCAGGTTTGAAAGAGCCTACATCCTCCTACAGTTGGATTTGGAGCACCATTTCAAAGCAGGAGACTCAACAGGCAGTTAAACCCAAGGAGCAAATCTGCATTCAGGCTTTAGAAACACACCCAAAAGTGTCAGTGTGGCCCATGCGAGGTTCAGAGCAGGGGCCGGGGAGCAGGGCCACGAGTAGGGTGACCTGGCCTTGTGTCTCTCCTTAGAGGGAGGAATTGAGATTCCAACCTCAGAAGACCTCAGTGGCCTCATCTGTTGCACGCTTGTGGCCTTCAGACCTCAGTCCCTGGACACGAGGCATCTAGGCCCCAGCCCAGTGCCCCTGATGGCCTCCACCTCCCCACCCCCGCACACCACCCCTCACCTTTCAGGAACGTCACAGAACAGGGACAGCAAGGAAATGGTTCACAGGTTAGTGTCCATTGGAGAACAGCGATCGTTTCTACAACACACAGCCCTTCCACGTGGGCACCTGGCCTTACTTCTCCCTGCCCCTTGGACACAGATATGAGCACCTAGCACCTTGGGGTGAAACTCGGGAACTAGCACTTTGGGGATTTACGCACATTCTGCCTGGAGGACCCAGTGCCCAAGCACCTCCGACGTGTGCCCAGCATGTAGTCGAACCAGCAGATTCACGCTGGGTGAATGAATCCATTCCCTTAGCGCTAACCAGTTTCAGCACAACGATTAGCTGTTTGGAGGGAGGCTGTCAATGATTGATTTTTGTATTTTTAAGTTTTTATTGTTACTGCACCAGCACGTGTGTTGCTCCGGAGTTTGTGTCCATGTCTCGCGAGCTCCCTGGGGCCGCCTGCTCTTTCAGACCTGCCGCTGCCCCCTGCCCCCTCCTCATGGGACTGTGGGCCCCCTGCCCCCACTCCTGATGTGACATGTGATGGTCCAGGAGCAGCTGTGTGTCCTCTCATCCTAGGACCACAGCTTTTCCCTTCTCTGTTTCCAACGTTACCCCCTTTTTTTTTCTCTAATATTTATTTAGTTGCACCGGGTCTTAGTTGTGGCAGGCAGGCTCCTTAGTTGTGGCTTGCAGGTTCCTTAGTTGTGGCATGCATGTGGGAGCTAATTCCCTGACCAGGGATCGAACGCAGGACCCCTGCATCGGGAGCACAGAGCCTTAACCACTGCACCACCAGGGAAGTCCTTCCAGTGTTACCCCTTGAAACAGTTGTTTGGGAGGAGGGTAACTATTTCATTCTTTCTATTCGTCAAAGGAAAGTCTCCAGGAAAGATAAAGTGTTCTTACTTGTGCAAGGCTGAGGCGCTATGCTCCTCCCAGCGTGTTACCCTGTAGCCACATAAAACGGGAAGCTCGATTGCTTTTTCAGATTTTCTATCAACGCAAACATGGTCCTGACGCTTAGAAGCACCTGCACTCTTATTCTTACCTCCGCGGCTCTGTGTTTGGAGTTGGATTAGTGAGTTAGATTTACCTCTTCCTGGGGGGTGCTTAATGGCTGCGCCTAGACCCGTGCTCTTGCCAGGAGCCGCCTTCTCTGGGGCAGCGCGGGCATCGGGCCCAGGGCGAGCGGTCGCCCACACGTGACCTCAGCTTGCTTCGTCCTAAGTCCGATTTTCTGCTTCTCAGGCAGCTCTCCGGCCCCACTCGTCTCTGTTCCCTTGAAGAACCTGAGGAGCTCACAGCTGCCCTCATGTTCCAGGCACGTGGCTGGGCCCAACTCCTGGTGCTGGTCCCAGCAGCACTGACAGGACCCCGGTTTCATGGAGACAGAGGCCGTGGGAGCCCCTTCTCTGGTTTAGACCCTCACTGGCCCGGTGTCGGGCCGAACTTCTAGTAACTGCGTTTTCTCTCTGTATGTGCGTGAGCCAGCCCTCCACACGGTTGCAGTTTAAAGACTCGAGACCAGAGTCCAGTGGTCACAGAGTTGACCCGAGCACAGCGGCTGAGGCCTATGGGCCCCGTGCTCGTGGCCTGCCTCACGCCCAGCCTGGGGCCCTGGGGGACAGCCCTCCTCTTGCGGGCAGAAAGCTTTCCTGGTCGTCAGCACAAGTCACGTGTTCCGCCTTCGCTGATATGAAGACTTGTTACTCTGCAGCTGTCCTTTCTCTCAGGAAGAATCGACCTATTTCTGGATTGTATTTAATTACTCTTCAACCAGTTTTCTCAGTTACTCCGTCAGCAAAATAGAATTAAAAACACCTGCACCTCCATATCCCCAAGAAATATTTATGAGGTTGGCTCCTCAGAAGAAAAGCCGTGTGCCTCCTTACACACCAGGGTACATGGCAGAACCAGAAGCTGGCTGTGTATTGAGAATCTGCAAATGCCAGGTCAACAAGGTGATTGCAGTTCAACTTCCCTGAATAATCAGTAGCTTGAACGACATTATGGGAAAAGATCCTCCTCAACATCATCATGATTTTGCAATACAGTAGAATTTTCTGTTTTGTAGAGAAGGAATTGTCAGTTTGTGCAATTAATTCTAGAAGGAATCCTGAGATATTCCACTCCAAGTGAAAGCCATTGTTTTGGAGTTAAAATAAAGCAGCATTTTTTTTTTTTTTTTTTTTTTTTTTGTCCAGGTAAAATATGTGTGTTGTCACTCCAGTTGTGAGTGTTCTTAAAGCCTCATAGAAAGGACCTGATAGTCTTTTTTTTTTTTTTTTTTTTTTCTTGCAAAACAGCAAAGAAGCTCTTAAGGAGCCCTGTGAAAGCCAGGACCCCCTCACTGTAGCCCCACACGGGTGCGTTCTCACACTCTTGTCGATAGAAGGCGAAGCTGGGTCCCTGTCTTCCTGCCGCAGGTCACTGCTTGTAGAGAGGAGGCTGGACTGGACCCATGCCCGCTGCCTGCAGACTGCGCTCTGCCCTCTCGTGTGTGCCCACCCTGGAGGGCAGCCGTGCCATCCTGAAGTCGTGGGTTTGTCCAGTCTCTACCTTGCTTTACAGAATCAGGTTGGAGTGTGTCTTTTTCAGAAGTTTCACCCAGAACTAATTTTTTTAAGATCAAAATAGTCATTTCTGCATAATAATTTGACTTTTATTTGGAAGTAAGATGCTATAGTAGATGTTTAGCATATGTTTCATAAGCTTTGGTAAATATTCTCCTTCTGTCCTCTGGGTTTTGTCTGGGTGTGTGTGTGTGTGTGTGTGTGTGTGTGTACATATGAAGAATATGTGTATGAAGAAACTGAAGGGCAATTTTACATTTCACTTTTGACAGACTGATCAGCAATTACAGAGAACAGAACAATGACAGAAATGGAAAAACAATGAAAGAAAACTCCTAATTAATTTAACCTTTTTTTAAAATAACTTGACCAAACGTAGCCCTCGGGCCATTTGGCTCTCAGGCGCCCTGGGCCAGTGCTGCCCCTCTGTCCCTCCTGGAAGGTGCGGGGCAAGGGCAGCCACAGCAGCGCCCACACTCGTGTCTCCACTAAATGCCTTTCCCTCCCGCATCTGATTTCAGGTGTCAGAAACTACTTAAAAGAAGCATTGGTGAATATAATTGCTGTGCATGCAGAGGTAAGCCGTCCTTAGCTATTCCTGAGGGACGTGGGCAACTGGAGAAAAGAAGAGGCCAGTTCGATGGGTTTTATGGCGGTCTTTTCCCCTTCAGAATGTATTTTTGGTGTAAATAAAATACAACTCTGGTTTCAGCGCTCGCACGTGTGTGTTTTAACCGTGAGAGTCTTTTTCTGAAATTTGGTATGTTTTTTTCTAATAATTAAAACTAAACTCATGAATATTTGAAAGGTAAAGAGAAGAGAGATTGAAAGGATGTCTTTCCCTAACTTGGAAAATTCCTTGCCCTGTTTTTAACCAGTGTACAAATAAGCGCTGACATCTTACTCTCGCAGCTGTAGGGCGTGTTGGAAAGAAGTTAGGTGGTGGCCTCCCCTCAGCGTCTCACAGAGGTGCCCCTGGATGTTGGTGCTGCTGGTCACACCCAGCCTGCCCTCCCACGGCACTTTCTGCTTAGTGTCCCACCGTTGTCCCTGCTGTGACTGCCTTCGTAATTCCGCAGTCCTGGACTTCCAGGTTGGCTGCGGCCAGTGAACTGTTGTCCACCAGATGAAATGGGCCCAGCAAAGAAGTTCTCAGTAGAAGATTTCAGGCACAGTTGACCGCTGCTCGAGAACCTTCTGAGTGTCTGCGTCTGGTGCAGGTGCATCGGGGGTGTCAGGTTTACGTCACCCTCCACATGCACACGTGCTGCCTGGGTTACCAAGGTGAACTGGAGAAACGTGGATCATTAAGGCTGAAACAGAAGAGCGAGCAAAGGACACAGATTGCAGCCTCCACCTGGCTCTGAGTCTGAAGCAGCCAGAGCAGAAAGCAGAGTGGGGTGTCTTGTAATTTTCATTTCCTAGTGAGGCAGAGCATACATGTTTCTCCATAAAGTAAAGTTTTTATGTGATCTGACTCAGGCAGGAATTTACCATGTACATCTTTTTATGATGAGTGATATACTTTCAACCCTGGTTTTATCAAAGACATATAAAAGCGCTTTTTTGTTAGGTTAGCTTCCGATAAAGTTAGAGTGTAACATTAAATCATCAGGCAGTGTAGACATTTCTGTCGTAGGTGGGCAGGTGGTAATCAGAGGAGCTGCAGAATATGTGAGCATTTTAGTGATGATGGTGATTCCCACTGAGGCAGCTTTGATTAACGTCCACTGTCAGTCGATAACCATGAAGTTGTTTGTATTAGGCTTTTTAAGGCCCTTTTTAATATATCCCAGTGGCTGAAAACAGAATTTTGTACTTAACATTTACTATTTACTATTCCCACGTGATCTTAACTTGCCCCAAATTTTCTTCAGTAGTCAGGTTATGTTTGGGTTGACCCAAAGGTTTAATACTAGTGATTGAATCTGAACAAAAGGAAAAGCTAAAAAGAAAATACGATTTAGTCTAACTTAGAAATCAGGATCGTAATATGTTTCACCAAATGTCCAAACTGTTAATTTGCAAGTATCAAAATTCAAAGCTTGAAAACAATGTTTTTGGCAAATGAAAGGAAATATATATTTAATTCAGCAAAGAGTAAACTCGGGAAGTCTGTTGTGGCCAGAACAGAATAATGTATCCAGCATGAAGGAGCATTTGTTTTGACCCAAGGAGAGTCTGACCCAGTATGTTTTTATTTCTATAATTTCCTCTTTAGAAATCGTATTTCTTCTTGTGAAAAGGGTAGAGGAGGAAGAAATCTTTAAAACTATTTCAGTTTGTCCCCATCAACAATAGCTTTCAAAACTACAGTTGCCAATAGTTTTTAAGAGGAATGTTTTTTGTCAGGAGTCCGTGAATACAGCTTGTGTGCAAGCCCGTGTCTGCCTTTCCTTCGTTAATTCTGATCCTGCAGAAATACAGCTTAGGAGACCTGGGGGTTGTTTTGCTATGTGCATCCCTTTGTTTTTAACAAGTTCTGGTCAAGTAAAGTCCTCATAATGCATCATTTCTTTTTATTTTCAACCTTCTATCAGGTGTTCACTATTTCCAAAGACCTGGTGCCTCGGGTGCTGTCCAGGGTGGTGGAGGCAGTTTCTGAAGAGCTGTGTAGGCTGATGCAGTGCGTCTCATCCTTCAGCAAAAACGGAGCATTGCAGGTACCACAGCTGCTCAGTTCTGTGTTTAACTTAGTTGTTTGAAAACACAGAGATGTGTTTTCAGTCATCATTCTCAGGAGGTCCAGACAGGCTTTGTGTTTTTCTGTGGATCTGCTGGTTGGAGAGCTACACGGTCTCCTGTGTGAGCCATATCCATGACGTCGACAGTTCCAGAGTTCCTGTCCCTTTAGAGTGCAGTGACTCTTGTGATGCTATCTGAATGCAGATTCCTTCTGAAGTTCTGTGATTTTGTCTGTTTTACAGTTGTCTTCACCACGTTCAATTTAACAGGAAATCTTTAGAAACTTCTTGTAAATAGTCTTTCCAAAGCACTCAAATGCAGTTTGCATAGAAACAACAAATAACTGTTTTTTCTACTCATATCCCATTGCTTTATGTTGTATTTACTTAAACTACGTAATTACAGTAGCAAAGGTAACTTCTGTAAGTCAGATGAGCCTTGGTTTGCCTGTAGCCAGATCAGTAGGAACCAGGGTGTGCAGGCCTGTGGGGGTGTGAGCCCCCCTGTAGGCCCTCATGCCCAAGGGCATTGTGAGGCTACCTTCTTAAAGTACCAGAAGTTTTGCTTCTAGTAATGCCTGAGGACCTCCTATCAGGCCAACCCCCTACAGATAACAACTCTAATCCTGAATAATATATAAAAATAAAAAATGTAAAAACAAAAACCTGAAGACTGTAGAGAGTGAACATGAGTGGCTGATTCTGGAAGAAATGGCACTTGGGTGAATTCCTCACTTTTTATGGATTTTGGCCTGAATGCAGGCCCAGGGGAAACTAAAATTACATAAAACCTGTTGTCTTTTCAGTTTAGAAGAATAGGCTTCAGGGCAGCCACAACTACAGGAAGGCAAGGGAGGTATCCCAGGGAGCAGAAAGCAGGAGCCGTAAGTTCTGTGTATACACTGCCTGGGTCTCTAGTTGGCCCCTAAACCACACGCCTGGTCAAACTCCACTCCAGCCCACATAAGGCAAGAACCGAAGTAAGAACTGAAAAGCTGCCCCAGAGCCGAGAGTTTTCAGTTTGAGTCCAGATACATTTATTGCTTGTTAAAATAAACAAAAATCGGCTCTTCAGAAGCATATTATAGAACCCAGAGTCTTCTCAAGATAACATTCACAGTGTCCAGGATACAATCCAAATTTAGTTGAAATGCACAAGCAAAACAAAACAGGAAAATATGACCCATTCTCAATAGAAAAGACAATCAACTGAGACCAGCCCTGAGATGACCCAGTTGTTAGAAATCAGACAAGGATTTTAAAGCAGCTGTGTTCAGTGATGTAAAGGAGACTATGCTCCTAATGAATGAACAGACAGGGAATCTCAGAAGAAAAATAGGAGCCCTAAAATAGGAACTAAGTAGAAATTCTGGAGTAGAAAAGTATAATACATTAATATTTTAAAATATACTTGCTGGTAATAACAGCAGGATAGAGAGGACAAAAAAAAAAAATCAGTGAATGTGTAGAGACCAAACATCAGTTATCCAATATGAAGAAGAGAAGAATAATTGAGAAAAAATGAACAGAGCTCTAGGGACCCTGGGACATGTGATTCCATGTCCAGTCAGCAGGTGAAGGATGGTCCACATCATTAGTTATTTGAGACGTGAAAACTGACACAACAGTGAGTTCCCATCCAGCAAGGAGAAGGAAATTAAAGACTGAAAACACCCAGTTTTGGCAAGACTGTAGAGAAGCGAGTTCTCACGTGTTGGCAGGAGTGTGAAATAGTACCGCTGCTTCGGGAAAAGTTCTTGCAGTTTCTTTCAAAACTAAGTGTACACTTACCCATCCAAACACTGGAAGCAGCCCAGGTGTCCATCAGTAGGGTAAACAAACAAATGGTGGATCCATAAAACAATTACCGTTCAGCGTCAGGGAAGCCACGTGAAGGGGGCCTTGTACTGGACGGATGTCATTTTCGTGGAGAAAACCCCAGGACGACGCTGTCCCCTGGGTGGTTGACACCAGTCGGGGAGCTGAGGGGGCTCTGCAGGCGGTGGTCCTACACCTCGGGATGGTTCCCGCACACAGCGTGTGCAGCAGCCCGAACTCACCAGATGTGCACTCGAAGATTTGTCCATTGTGCAGTGTGTGAGTTTTAACTCAAAGAATCGAAAAAGTTGCAACAGCCTACTCCAGGCAGTGACGCCTGTGGCAGATGGCGTGTGCTGTGGAGAACATTGGCGGCGGAGTCTGTGCTGCACAGGTGCTCGCTGTAAAGTTCTCCCAGAGTCTCTGCACTTGACAAAGTTCACACAGAAATGCAGGGTGAAAGGGATTGAATTGAGCATGTGAATTGACCTGGCAAGCTGGTGAGGGGAAAATCCATCACAGAAACTTCATAATATGTCCATGATCATGGCTGTTCTAATAGTCGTGCCGGAGGAGATCAGTAACAGGAATTGTGTATGTGAAGATGAATTGAAAGGAAGTTGCAGTAGCTGCTTTGGGCCTAGGCGGTCCTGGAATTACGACAAAAAGCTCCCCTCCTTGCAGATTTTTTCTGCAGCCCATTTAGCTGATGACTGAGTTCCTCTCGCAGGAGGGTCAGCAGGA